AGCATTCAGGAAGCACTTTAATGTATGGCTGCCAATGTGACTCAGGGATCAGTTTCTGACAGCATAACATCATTGCCAAAGCAACATTTTCCATTTGAACGTATTATTATATCTCGGTGAAATGCACGCCGAAAATTTATTTTCATGGATCAAGTTGAGAAAAATATCACTTAAATCTATAGTCAATTTAGAAGTATTCAACATCTGACCAAAAATGATGAATTTACTTTAAGAAAGACGATCGTCGAGCCTGGTCTAATGAGAAGATTGCCTTTCGAGGTACTCTTAACAACTCTGACCCAACCGGAGCATAATCTGAACTTATCAAACCAAATCCATCCATATTTTCTTCATATGCAATTTCTACGAAACAATGAGAAATTCCAACCATATTGGCCCAATGCAGAAAATCTGCTAAAGCTGCTTTACGCCGTTCCGAGTATCTGTAACAAAATTGACCCACATATTTTTAGATTCCGACATTAAAAAAGAAACAAAAAAAGACAAAGAAAAAACTCTAGTAAAAATATTTCGAAGTTAATACTTTAATAGAAGAGATTCCAATTATAAATGATGTATTTTGATGAGTTAAAAAAAAAATTATGTATTTTGATGAGTAAAATTGAAGTTTTAATTGCTATCAGACAGCCACATATACTAATCGATATTTTATTCAAACACACTGATAAGTATGCTTTCTGAAATTTCCTCAAATTCGTTTTTCACCCCTTTTTGCAACGCTCTGCGATAAAGTAATTAGACTTTTGCATCTGCAAAATCGCTTGGGAACATCTTATGAAATGACTGTTATCACTTTCACAGATAATGGTCTGTCATTGATAATGAACCTTCCTGTTAACAGCAGCAACATTACTAAGCAGCATTATTCTTCTTATCGTCAGTTTTTTCTTCTAATAGTTGTAATTGCGTGTGTGATCAAGATTTGTAAGATTCTATGTTGTAATTGATAGAATAAGTGAGCTATTAATATTCAAATTACGGAAGCGGAATTTTCTCGGGAATGATTAGCGAGAGAGGGATTTTCTGAGAATAAATTGACGAGGATAAGGTTGATTTCTGCAACTTCGGAAGCATTTATATATTTATTTAATTCTGACATAGTGCTGACATACTGCCAAAAAATGCTTCAAATTTCAAATATCACAAAAAAAAGATTGTATGGCTTGATCATAAGTAACGAAAAAGTAGTCTTTTTTTCTTTTCCTTAAATATACTTCTTTAAATGTTATACCACTTTTCCTGTTGCACTTAATGAAATAAGCTAGCTAATTTAAAGTTTGTCCCAGAAGTTCAGTTTATGAACAACTTGGCGCCTTTACGGATACGTTATTGAAAACTTTACGGATACGCTGTTACGTTATTGAAATTGAACAAATCCATCCTTCTTTTACTGTCTTTCATTGCAATTATCGTGACAATGTGAATTCATAAAAATTACCCGAGTTGGTCTTCCAGACGTTGCTAATAATATGTTATAAATACCAATGAGTAATGGTAACATACTCATGCATTTTTCATCGTTACGAAATATTTTGGGAATTAGCGCTTTAATGAAAGAAGACATTGTGAATTCGAACGTGTGAAATTCAAGACTAATAGAAATTGAAATTGTCCCTCTCCTGAATTTAAGGAAAAGGATTGATGATTGGAAATTTTCAAAAAATCATATCACTGATTCCAGCATCACACTTGCCTTTTGCTTTGCAAAAGCAGAAATGAAAACTGAATAAATTTGTAAGAAGCAAAACAAATATACAACAAATTTCTGTAAATATGCAACGAATTCGTTTTTAATCCGAATAATCTTTGTATGCCAATGACTCAAAAAGCAGTTTTTTTTTTGGTTTGAAAAATTTACAAATTTTGAAAATTTAACAGTAATTCTCTGATTACTTTGCATATTTTTGGCATATTATAATTTTATCTTTTTGTATTTCAATTTATCTGCAACTCATTTCATGAGGGTTTCGTCGGGGATTGAAAGCGCATTCATCAACTATCAAATTAGAGACGGGAAATTTGCAAGAGAAAGAAAAATATGAGAAATATTGCGGATCATACAAGTCAAAAGCCACTTGAATCTTTGGTCGTTTAATTCCATTCAATGCGATATAAAAAGGCTTCTATTTGAGCATTTCTACCATTTTAAAGATTTTGTATTTTACCTTGTTCTTCATCATGTTTGATGACACAGATTATTTGGTTCAATCTTCTGCTTTGTGTCACTTTGGCTTATAATGAAACCTTCTCTCCACTTGACTCCACATATATTCATTATCCTGGTTATAACCCAGATATCATTCTGAACTACCTTCCCCATACATCTGATATCGTTAACAACGATTTGGAGACATTGCCTGACCATAATGACGATACATATAACAGTGACCGGGAACAAGCGACGATAATAACAAGTGATGAACAATCCCAGGAAGTCACCGACGGTTTCGCTTATAATATCGAACGGGAAAATACTGATCGAGAATTGTTAGGAATAACCGTTGACAAAGATCTCTTCCCAGAACTCATCTGCACTTTATTACCGCTTAATTCAGATACCAGTACACACAATACTGGTGGAGAATTACCGGGAACAAATGGTGAAATATTACATAATGATATTTCCTTCAAACGTTACAGTTCACTCAATCATGTGAAAATGAGATTACAAGCAATTAAGAACGAAACTGATTTCATTACAGCAGAAAATTCGCAGTTATTTACTCTGCAATATCCAACCATTAAAGAGAACATTTTTCCCCTAATATATGCCAAGAAAAAGTAAACATTTCCTAGTAATTCAAGTGAAATGTGATGTTATTTTGTGCACTTTCATGATCAGTTTTCAAATTACATTAATTAATTAGCAAATACTGTAATAGAGTGCTAATTACAAATACAAATGTTATAGAAGGAATTTTTCAGAAGAGCAAAATCGTAAGCATCCTCATGCCGGACGTAATGCGCACTTTAAGAATCGCAGTGAATATAGAAAACGCAAGAAAACGCACGACAAACCATTTATTTGCAAACGCCAACGACCCGATTGTGGGCAAACGTCCAATCATTCATCGTTTCTCTCTCGCAATGAAACACGCCAACCTAAACTTCAATGCGAAAACTCCAAGGAATTTTTCTCCCGCAAGGACAATTTGAAAATACACATGAAGCGATGTTTAATAAATTCTAGTTAGTTTCGCAAATCTAGCAAAATTTCAAGCATGTTTCTATCTTGAATAGTAGAATGCACATGAAAATGTGCTGCAGAATATCCGCGACCATGGAGTAGCAATGCAAAATTCAATAAATACTGCGATGCAGAAAACGAAGCCAAGTTGCGGCAAAGTGTTCATTTCCTTTGCCGCAGTGAGGCAGCATTTAGAAAATATTTATTCTAACCTAACTGCGGCATATCCGCAATTCGGGCATATTTTGAGAAATATGTGTAAGCATCAGAAGTTGTGCGGCATTTTCAGTGTTACTGTCACAACAGATGCCAATTTATAGTCTCATTTTAAAATTGGTTTTTTGATCTGTTTTGTTTTCATTCTCTTTACTATCCCACATAAGAGTAATTAGTGGCAGAAGTGGCTATTTTTTTAAAATTAATTCTTACCAAAAATCAGACTACTTATCCGATCCTTCATGATCGTCCGATATTATAAGAGTTTTTCAGCAAAGCGAATTTATATATGTCCTTATCCCGGATGTACTTTGCGCACGAACAATTTCCAGCGATATATAAATCACAGGAAAACACACGCCAAACCATTTGTTTACCAGTGCAAAGAACCCAATTGTGGGCAAAACTACAGTTATAGCAGAACACTTGGCTATCACAAGAAAACAAAACATCAGCCATCGTATAAATTTTTAAAATAATTTAAACTGTAACAGATCGTTCACCCTCAAGTACATCTTGGAAAAACATATGAAACGATGCTCCATAACTTCTCGTCAGTTTCGCAAATTTAGCAAAATTTTAAACACGTTTTACCACCTGCAATAGTAGAATTCACATGAAAATTACGAATTACAGATTCGTTTGGAAGTCATCATTCCGTGACATTTTCTAAATTTTAAAATATGACACATCTTTAAATTAGAATTATAAATGGTGGTTTCAAATTATTTTAAAAACTTTCAAATTATATACACCGATTCTGAGACTTTTATTTCTTTGTTTGAATTAATATCCAAAAATTGCTTATTTAGTAGTTTAGTCATTATTTTCGTATTCGTTTGTGCAGTAATACAAATGATTCCATGTCTATTTGTCTCATCAAAATATTCTTATAAATCGTGCTATTTCAACTTATTACTCCATAGTTTGCATAAATGTCATAATGAATCAAAGTTGTGGGACACCATCATTGGACCAACTAATGATACATTATTAGTCTATTTTTGAGATAAACATCCGAATACACCTTTGATCATCGAATGGATTATGAAGAAGTTAGTTAATCATAACACGGGATTCCGAAAATTGATGCAATCTTTGAAAAAAAAATATATTTGAATATTATATGGAGAAATTCATTGAAAGAGATATTAACCGACGATTTCTGCAACAATATGCAAATCAATCAGTGCCAATGTTGGGTGAAGGAAGACAGATAGGATTATAATGAATATGGTACAGATTAAAAAATCATTTAAGCGCTAGTGTTTAGTGATAATTATCCATCAGTATTGCAGCCTCCCATTTATGATTTTTTTCATGCAAATAAAAAATTCTTTTTAAATGCATAATTACCGTTTACGCAAGTATTACAACTTCTGTGTCACCCTAAATTTTAACTTTAAACCTCCATATCATTCAACTTTGTGTTGCCACGTGTGATGTATATCGCAATGCAATAAGTAATTATTGAATTTGAAATATTTCAAATAGTACGTCCATAAGTAGAGTTCCATCAGTGGCACTTTGCATAGTATGCCTATATGCACTAAATTAAAGGTATAAAGAATGATAGAAAGAATTTAAAACTGAATTAAAATCCGGTAATCAAAAAGAGAAAAATTCCGGCAGAAGCTATGCAACAGTTTATAGTCGTATTGTTGATGAATAGTATTACAGATAACTCTGCTAATAACTGCATAATTTCATTACAACTAGCTATACTAAAATTTTCAATAATTTTGTTCAAATTCACTTGTGAACACTAAACTTCTGATGTTTTCATCACCTCCAATGGCTGCTAAAGACTCAAATTAAATTTATCTATGATTCACCCAATTATTTCCACCAATTACCTTATAATAATTTGAAGTTCGAGGATATATTCTCAATTTTCGCCCTCTTCCTTCCATTCAATTTTCCTCTAATTAGCATCATTCCCCGACCGGCAGAGCATTTCGGTGCGGAAATATTTGTTTTTAGCGAAATCAACTTATTTGCTTACGATTATATTAAAATCTTTCAAGGTTTCAATTAGGATAAAAGTTTATCCAAGGTTTTTTAGAACTTCGGTATTACCGATGAATGGTTTACATTGACGATGATATTAGAGACGATGTTTTCATTCACGATGATATTAACGATGGCATCAGTCATTATTATAATACTGCTATAATTCAAAATACGTCCTGGAATGACAACTTTCGGATTGACAGAGTTCTTTTCACGCAATTGCTAAGTGATGGATACATCCATAAAATGCTATCGTGTATGTAAGCTTGCATGCAAATGCATCGTTCGTATTTCTTTGCATGCACCACTTAGCAATCCTTGTATTGCAGAAGTAGTACACCTCCTGTTATTAGACTTATTCAAAGCACTGACATCAAGACTGTCGCGAATTTTGATTCGCGAGACTCCAACCA